CAAAAGCACAGAAAATTACCACTTCTATTTAAACCTCGCCCTGCCCCAATCTGCACTGTCTGTCTTTCCCATCTTTCAATTCGAAAAAGTTCTCACTATCGAGAAAAGTAAATGCATTTCGAAGGTGAACAAGTGATTGTATGTCGTTGAATGTACCAATTTTTACCAATTATAAAGTGAATATGTTTTATTTAAGGCAACATTCTCTCATACCACACTTGAAAAATATAATCAGCTTAAAAGCATGACTATTTTTACAATGACAACCTTATTAGATCTCAAGTTAAATACAAATAAAAATTGCACATCATTTCAAAGGATTTGTTGCCTGCCAGTTTGTGTCTGACATTGTCAGTGGATTTTTATTCAAGATAAAGAGAAACTGCAATATATTATATTTGTAACACTTTATTTTAGGGTTCAAAGTTGCTTATTAGCATGCATATTACTAGGATATGGCTGTTTATAAGTTCTTATAAAGCACATATTAATGCATTATTCTGCATGATCTACATCCCTTAATCACCAAATACCTAAATTTAACAACTTCCATAGCCCTCAATCGGGTCATGGGGTCTATACGACCCCAATCGACTTTTATTTAATAAAAAAAAGGTTCCCTTCATCTCAGTGGAATAAGATTTTGTGATATTTCATATATTATCTATCTATACACACACACAAACCAAGTTATGTAAAAAAAAAAAATGTTTACACTTCTGGTCTTCTGACCCCACATTGAAATGAATGGGAAATGTGAAAAAAACTAAATATATTTTCTTCATATGTCAAATAAAAAAAAAAAAAAAAATCCGGCATAAATCTGAAAATGTTTACACAGAAATGAAGGCCTAGTACTAGAGCATAAATGCAATGTATCATAAAAAATAAAAAAAATTAATATGCAAGCTAATGGTGTAGTTGAGGAATTGTGTGGTATATGGATATAAAAGTACTTTATATCTCCAAAAACACAGCATTAATAAATAGATGAGAAGTAAACAAGAAAAATGATATATTGTTTGTATGATTATATTTTTTGTACAATTACTCAATTAATTGTTGGGTTCGTATAGACCCCGAAGCCCAGAAGTGTAAACAGGAAACGAAGATTAATAACTATTAATAAACATGAGTTTAATGTGGCAAAAGTCATAGTTAATAGTGAGAATTGGACCCTAATCTAAAGTGTGGCCATTATATTACGTATATATGTCATATTTTAAAAATTTGTACTGAGAATTATACTTTTATTCCTCAGGGATGCATGCAATTTATTAAAAATGACAGCAACTATTTCTATTTCAAATAATCACAAATTTTCAAATTATCACAGTTTCTACAAAAAATAAATGTTTCTTGATCATCAAATCACCATATAAGAATGATTTCTGAAGGATCATGTGACACTGAAGACTGATTAACATCACAGGAATAAATGATACATTTTAAAATACATTAATTTTAGATGGTCATGGTGGCATGTGTTTCATAATTCTTTTATGTAAATAGTGTCCCTCATATTGTTGGCTAGGTTATATTACACCATTTAGAAGGTGAGATGGTACGTGTCGATCTAGTTTCCCAAAAGAAGTGTAGCTCCAGATGGACGGATGTATCTCAAATCCTAAGAAGCTCACTTTGCCGTTTACTGCCTACATTCGATATTTGAGATGTTCGTCATTTGCAGAAACTTCAATAATAATTAAAAGGATACGCCAGACAGTTTCTGGTCACATTGACTTTCATAATAGGAAAAAATATATATACTATGGAAGTCAATGGGACCAGAAACTGTTGGAAAAGTGGAGTATCCCTTTAAATAACCTACTAAAAATTAACAAGAGAGTAGTTATAAGATATCAATTTCATACTAGAACCAAAATCTTGCAAAGTACACGCTCTCAGAAAAAAAAATGGTACAAAAGCAGTCTGTGCCCTTCAATAAGTTGTAATATACAGCATTTCAGTACTAATATGCACACTTTTGGGCTTAAATATGTACCTTTGAGGTACTAATATGCACTCTTTTTGAAAGGTACAGCCGCAGTGACAGCTTTTGTATTTTTACCAACAATTTAACAAATGACTACATAAATACTTGGAAACATGATCGAATTTTGGAAGCTGCAAAAAGAAAAGTTTTATTGTTGCGCTCAATAACACGCCCGTTCCTTGTTTGGACTGGTGGTCACACACAAAAAAGGGGTTTTTGAAAAGCAGTATTTAATTTCAGCTTTGATAAGGCGAGCGTATAAAACCAGCATCGACATATGGTTTTCCTGTGACCGGATCCATACTCTGCTATAAAACAGTAAAAGATGACTGAAGTCTTTGCTAACGTGTGTGAGCCAGTCTAACATCCTGGGGATTTGAAGACGATTTTCAGGCTTTTGCTATGCTATTAATTCAGAGAAATAAAAATAACTAGGCTGTTTTGTTTTACCCAAGCATTCTGAAAGAAATCTATTAAACTGGTTTCAACTCAATCCACACTCACTGTAAAAAATAATCGTGATTTTAACGGTAAAAGACTTACGCCATGTCCTAACTACACGCGACGCGATAAAATTCCAGCGACAGCAAGTGTGTCTGTCCACACTAGACGCGACGTGACTGTGAGACGCCACACGTCAATCAAAAATCACAGCCATTCAGAACAGCGTGAAAGCGCTCATGTGGGTTAACGTAGGTTGTCGCGTCTGGTTAGGACAAAAACTCTGATTAACATGGAAAAGATACCTTTTATCGCGTGTCGCAGCGCATGTACTTAGGACACGGTGTTACAGTAAAAATGCTACAGTCCAAAACTGTTAATTGGTTAACAGAAAGTTTCAGTACTATATACGGTAAATAACGAATAATTTTACGAATGTAATTTTACTGTAAAATACCGTTAAATTTAACCGTTTTTGAAGGTGAAAAAGAACATCTCATTTAAAAAAATGTAAATTGACGTTCCCACAATTCCCTGTGAGACACTTGACATTTTATGTATTTTTTGTTGAAATAATTATGTTTCCTCATAGTTTTCTTGTAAGTATAAACAAAGTCCTTTTTTGTCTCTGGTATAAATCTTTTTGTGGAAGACTGTGATGAGCTTTGATTGATCATGTGACTCATCACTGCTGTGATGATTAGTGGTTGTCAGTATATTACAATGGTACAAAACAGATATCAATATTTAAATAGGTTGGTAAATTAAACATTACATCGGATAATGAAATACGGTTTATTACTGTAAATTTTAAGTTAAAGTAGTAGTTCACTTTTAAAAAAACTTTTGCTGATAATTTACTCATCCCCATGTCATTCAAGATGTCCATGTCATTCTTTTTTTCAGTCGAAAAGAAATTAAGGTTTTTGATGAAAACATTCTCAAGGTCCAAAAGACAGTTTCAGTGCAAACTGCAAACTGTTCAAAGGGCTTTAAATGATTCCAGACGATTAATAAGGGTCTTATCAAGCGAAACAATCGTTTAAGGTAACAAAGTTTACGTTTTATAAGCTCAAATGTTCGCCTTGCTCTGTTCTGTGATGCGCGTCGAACTCGTTTAGCAAAATGAACGAATCTTTTTTCGTGTCATTTGGTTCATTCAAATAAACTGTTGACTCGGGAAAAGATTCAATCATTTTGATAAATGAGTTCGAACAGGAGAGTCACGAACGCGCATCACAGAACAGAGCAAGGCGGCCATTTGAGCTAACAAAACTTTTTTTTAAAACAAGCAATCGTTTCGCTTGATAAGACCCTTATTCATCGTCTGGAATCGTTTAAAGGTCTTTGAACAGTGTGCAGTTTGCACTGAAACTGTCTTTAGGACCTTGAACCGTTTGGTTCCCATTGAAGTCCATTATATGTTAAAAATAAAGTTCTGGCAACCACAACTGCCATGTTTTTACCGTAAAAAAGACTGTTTGATTAGCAACATCTATACATTTATATGCAGTAGTAAATTATGAACTATCACAAGGCCACCTCCATCTCCCAGCATTCATATTGCATTTCATAGTGAATAGACAATGCATTTTAAAATGTAAAGATGTGAGAAAAGGAGGTCAGACAGGGCCATGGCTCTTGAAGTTGCTACGTGTCCACAGAGCAATGAGTGGTTTGATATAATGCCAGATGTTCTTCTCTCTCTCTCTTTCTCTGTTTGTCTCTGTCTTCTCTTAACATGTTGCACATGTAAACCTAACGAATCACAGCTTCGCTCATATGTTCAGACATGCAATGGACATTTGCACAAATATGTTATGTTGTTGTTCTGTCTATGGCTATGTCTTCACATCTCAACTGTGGCACTGCGGTGTGTCTGGTGTCATCGGATAAAAGTGTTATTTTAATATTTCTATTCTTCTTCCCTTTTTTATATGTTCATGTAGTTTTTATTCAATTTTAGCTCATGAACTTCCAATGATGGTCCAATAGAGAGTTCATTGTGGTCTTTTATTGTGACATTTTTCAAAGCATCATCTTCTTTTGTGTCGAAGAACATGTTTGGAATGACATGAGGGCAAGTAAACGATGACAGACTTCACGTTTCTTAACATTTAGAGAAAGAGTAAACCCTACTTTCTAATCCTTCCTTCAGTCCCAATCCTCCACAACATCATAAGTGTTCCTCAAACCCTCGTCTCGTTCAAATTCACCACTAATTCAATTCACCATCATGATCATCATCTGGCAACTAAACATGAAATGATCACATCCAATAAGAGGGTCCAGCTTGTCCAAGTCGAATTGAAACTGCTGATAGACACCCTGAGATTCAGACGACGACGATTTGATGAGCATGATATATCCAGAATCCCTGACACACTTCTCCATGTTTCAAAATGTCCACGTTGTAATGAGGACTCAGAATAGTTTGACATGTTTTAAGGCGGCCCTTAGTCTTGGCTGAAGGAGGGACTCGCTTTGACTTGAACATGTAGCAGATATCTAGCGCACTCAGCACCTCCCCAAAACTTTGGCATATAAAAGCCAGGGTCAAACATTTGTTTGCAGTAGGGAGTTTCTGCTAGGGTCTGGATTGGAGTTACACAGACCGGACCCTACGTGTATGATTGAGGACAAAACAGGATTCCCCTTGCCTCAAAGAGTCTACATGTCTAATATTTAGACATGTTCAGCTTTGTGGATATCCGGTTAGGGCTGCTGCTCGCCGCAGCGGTCCTCATGGTGAAAGGACAAGAAGAGGAAGATAGTGAGTATATGATTTTTACTCCTGCTTTTGCAAAGATGCTTGACAGAAGAGATTGGAGAACTCGAGGGGGAATTTTCAGCTTGTTTCAAGTGACCTGCAACCTAAAACTTCTTGGGAATGTCTCGAGGAGGGGGAAAAACTACCTTTTTATTCTCATCAACATTTTTATCTTCTAGAAATTGTAATTTTTTCCCATCCTGGCAATGCACGCGGAATTGTGTTCCTTCCTCGAGCGCTTGTTTGCACGTACATGTTCCGTCACTATGTGATGTCCTCGAGCGAAGGATGCGCTGAGGGAAAAACGCGACACGGATGAGAGAACAGAGAACGAGTCGAGAGACTACATTTAATGTCATATATCCTCTCATTGTTACACCTGTTTGTATCCTGTCATGCTTTTTTTATCGTTTTATAACGGGATATTACCGATTATCTCTGGATTACACGGTCTCTTGATATAGGTGCACCCGTCACTCGTAAAATTGACGTTTTTGAGCCTACACAGCAGCTAAAGTGTAACGATAGAGATACAATTCGGTGTTTTAGAATGACAAAGAAGCGTTTTATTTGATAAAGGAAAAACTTTGGTGTTCACTTCATCGTTTTGGGAATGAGCGGGGCGTGACGGTGGTTTGCAAGGCTTTGGCGCCACCAAGCGGTGGATATTAATGCTGCGCAGGTCTGAAACACGGTGAGGGGGATGCAGGCCTATCTATCATTGTATACCACGCCCCATTAGGCTATTTTCGCTTAATTTACATCTTTTAAATTAATTATAATGAAAAAATAAATAAATATGGCGTCACACTCTGTATACGTTTGAATAATGGAGACTCGGTGAGAACTCTTGTCCCTTCAGATTATAAATGTCATATTTGTTCTTTTTAAGTAAAACAAAAGTGTATATTTTCCTTTAAAGCATTTAAATGAAAGTTTCAGTTAAACTATTTTTTGGAACTGGTCACTTTGATTTCGAGGGAGGCCAATATTTAGTTTAGCTGGGATTTTGGTGTTCTTGATCTTTTTTTTTTTTAAAGTAAATGTGGAAATGGTTATGACCTCCCTGGACCTGTCGGCCCTTCAAATCATTCTGAAAGTGATTGACAATTCTGTGCTAATTCATAGCTGTTGTCCTTTACAGTCTCGTTCGGTAGCTGCACATTGGAAGGTCAGAATTACAACGACAAGGATGTATGGAAACCTGAGCCCTGTCAAATCTGCGTCTGCGACAGCGGGACCATCATGTGCGACGAGGTGATCTGCGAGGATACATCAGACTGTGCCAATCCAGAGATTCCCGATGGAGAATGCTGCCCCATCTGCCCCGACGGTACACTCACCTTCACCTTTGACCCAGTCACACGCTAGCTCTGTCGCCCTCAAGTGTGCAAACACTCAACCACATGCTTTGGGGAATACCTTTCATTGGCCTGTCATCATGTCGGAGACCCGTGGAGCGCAAACACAACACTGGATTCTCTCTCACCTCACGTGGGACTGAGGGATTAAGGATGTTTTTGCTTGTAGTCTTTATAGCCTTTTGGCTAATTATACTTCTTTTTTTGAACTTTTGTGAACAGTACATTACGGATAGTAGATCAATTGTTCCTGTGCATTCAAATATGCAAAGATTAATGACGTTTATAACTATTTGGATGTGCATTATTACGTCCTTTGATGCTTAAGGGATCAGTAGTTCATGTTGGGTATCTTATAATGAAAGTATCTCCAGATTTTTCAGAGTTTATCTATATCTTTACTTGAGCTGATTTAAGGTGGCACACTTCTGAAATACTTTTATTTTATTCCGTAGAAGAAGAAACGTCAGGTCCTGAGCCTCCCGTTGATCCATATGGTCCCATGGTTAGTGGGATTTATTTGGATTTTTCATCATGCACCTCATTCATTATTGATCATTAATTAGAATTTTACATTTGCCATACCACGTATACATGTAAATTACGCACATAAAAGACCTCTTTATGTTATATTTACAGCATACAACAATATAAAGTGTCATAACATTTCTATTTTTTTTTATTTTATTTGTTTATTTTTTTTAGGGTCCTGATGGTCCAAAAGGAGACCCAGTGAGTAGAGTATTTGTTTTTGAACACTAAATCATTATCATTATAATAATGCATTACAGCTATATTTGATGTATATATTGTTGATGTATATTGTTTAGTACAACTAAAAAATAGGCCAAAGTAGTTTGTATTGATTTGAAAATCAGTTGCAAATGCAAAGAATTTGGGCATTTGAGGCTTTTAACCTGCTGACCTCTACTTGTCTCGCTGACCTTTGACCTCTATAACATGAAAGATTAGGTATTTGTTTAATACACATGGTGTTACTCATTCCAATTTTCAGTTTTCACTTCATAAGATCACTTTTGAATCACATTCCAGCAACACTAAACTAAGAGTTGGCTAAATTTGGCTTGCTTTGCTGATGTGTCATCGCTCTGATTGATCATGGATCTCCGCTGTCTGTTTCTCAGGGTCCTCCAGGGCCTCCTGGCAGAGATGGGACTCCCGGAGAGAACGGACTCCCTGGACCTCCTGGTCCTCCTGGAACCCCTGGCCTCGGCGGTGGAGTAAGCGACTCAATTTTTTACTTTGTAAAACTGTGACTCTGCTTTGGTTGCGTCAGCATCGTTATGAATAAGCTTGGGAGAATCTTATTGTGTTGGGCCGTATTCAAAAACAAATCTGGTTGTGATCTTTAAGTTGCGTTCTGCGACCCAAAAGATTATTTTCTTTGGCATTCAAACATAAATATGCTTTTAAAAGTGCATGAAGAGTCTGTAGTTCAGTACCAACCATGTGAACAGCTCCCGTCATTCTCACCATTATAGATTAAAGCACACGATGCACTCTATTAAAGCAAAAAATATGACATAACTGAGGTATTTGTGATATTTCAGCTTTTTAAAGTATTTACATAGCTAATATTGTGAGATTAAAAGGAAAACTATCCTTTAGTAGTGCAGTAGTAAATGATGAAATGATACAAACCTTAAACTTGCATATTGATTCATTAATTGTCCTTGTTCCCTGCAGTCTTTCCTTTCCCAGATGGCTTATGGCAGTGAGAAATCCAGCGGCCCTCCTGTTCCCGGACCACCAGTACGTCAGCTTCTCTTTTCCCACTCGACCTCCTTTCCTTCAAGATCTCACAACGAATATGCATCACTTTTACACAGTGATTCACAGTCTTATGGATATTCAGCACTTTAGTGTGCATCTCTTTATCATGATTAACTTTGTCTGTAATCTATAATCGGCCACCTCGCTTTCTAGATTTCGGCCTCCATTTGCACTGCCTTCTGAACTACAAAAACGTACATGATATTGAATATAAGTACTGTTTAATCTACATTATTTTTATTTAAAATGTTGTTTTCTCTCTTATAGGGCCCTATGGGTGCTCGTGGCCCCCCTGGATCTGCAGGTTCACCTGTAAGTCTATTTCTAGTACAAAATGTTGTTGTTTTCCTAGAGCAAATAAATCGGCTAGTCTGTTTTTATTTTTTTTTAGTTTTTACATTGAAGTCCTGAGTATTGTCAGTAAACCTCATCCATCCAGTATCTCCGGTCTGATATGTAACTGTATTTGTGTGTATTTTTCACAGGGCCCTCAGGGATTCACTGGCCCCCCGGGTGAGCCTGGAGAGTCTGGTTCTCCTGTGAGTATCTTGCTTCTGAGTTTTAGTGTCAGTTTTGCTGTGAAGTGAAGACCAGCAGCTTGTGAACATTATTCTTCTGCTGTTGTTGCCTGCAGGGTCCAATGGGTTCTCGCGGTTCTCCCGGTCCTCCTGGAAAGAACGGAGAGGATGTGAGTTTTCTTTCTTCTCACTCAAATCACCTCTGAATCAGACCGTCAGACAGGCCTGTAAGTCTCTTCTCATCTCTCTTCTGCTCTTCCTCAGGGTGAAGCTGGCAAAGCAGGTCGCCCTGGTGAGCGTGGAGCTGCTGGGCCTCAGGTGCTCATGCTTTCCTCGTTTATACACACACATTGCACTCATGAAGTATGCTCACTGGAATGAATGAAAACGTCATGATTATATTCTCTTGCTTATTTCACAGGGTGCTCGTGGATTCCCAGGAACCCCTGGACTCCCTGGCATCAAGGGACACAGAGTGAGCATGACCCCACATTTCTACTGTAGTTTTAAATTGTTTATTCACGTTTAAGGTAACACTTTAGTTTAGGGTCTAATTCTCACTATTAAGTTGCTTATTATCATGCATATTACTTGGATATTGGCTGTGTAATTGTACTTAATAATCCCTTAATCACCCAATAATTTGACCCTAAACTAAAGTGTGACCATATATATAGAAATAGATGAATGCACACATTATTTTTTATTTTCTATTTTATTACATATTGCATACTACATATTTTTCTGTTCATCCATAAACCACCATATGCATTTTTGTGTTTTGCAATACTGCCTGCGATATATATTTCTATATATACATTATTAATGTACAGTTACATTTAATCATTAGCAGACACTTTATCCAAGCGACTTAAAAATGAGGAGAGCAATACTTATTAGCATGCATATTACTAGGATATTGGCTGTGTATTAGTACTTATTAATGTGATATTCTGCATGACCGTATTCTACATCCCTTAATCACCCAATAATTTGACCCTAAACTAAAGTGTGACCATATATATTTGTAGATGTATAGAAATAGATTGATGCACACATTTGATTCCATTGTTATTTTTCTATTTTATTACATATTGCATAATATCCATAAACCATTTTTGACTTTTGTGTTTTGCAATACTGCCTGCGATATAAATTTCTATATATACATTATTAATGCACATTTACATTGAATCATTAGCAGACACTTTTATCCAAGCGACTTACAAATGAGGAGAGCAATAGAAGCAACAGTTAAGTAACAATGCAATGTTTTCTGTTGTCTCTTACAGGGTTTCCCTGGTCTAGATGGCGCTAAGGGAGACGCTGGCATTGCTGGACCCAAGGTTAGATTTCCGTTCAATTGTATGCTCTTGTATACACGCAGATATTCAGTCTGTAAACATGCATGCTAATTTGACTTTGCAGATGTGCTGATATAGTGTTGATTCTCTGTTGATTGTGTCTCCTCTCTGGTAACAGGGAGAGACTGGTTCATCTGGTGAGAATGGTACTCCTGGAGCTATGGTGAGTGATTATAGATGGATTTAAAGTCCATGAAAAATTCTTCGAAATGATGCCATTTTTCTCACATTTCCTCGTCCATCTGCTTCTTTCAGGGTGCTCGTGGTTTGCCCGGTGAGAGAGGTCGCCCTGGACCCCCTGGCCCTTCTGTAAGTGTCACATCCATGAGAATAAAAACCACCTTTCATTTTTACAGTACAGTCAACAGAGTATCACATATTCACCTCTACTGAGACTCATCTAATACACTGTTCAGCTTATACAATGCAGTTCAACTTATTCAATGCAACTCAAATCAGTGCAAATTAACTCTGATTCAGATAATCAAAACGAATTGAAATATATCTTCCACTTCTGTTTAAATGCTCTCTTTTGGGCTTTTTCAAAGGCAAAATCTTCAGGCAGGGTTCAAGGCCATCATTCAGTGTCATTATTGGTTCATAATTCGTAATCTTTTTGTTTGTTTCTTTGTTTTCTGCAGGGTGCTCGCGGTAATGATGGCAACACTGGCGCTGCCGGACCTCCCGTAAGTCTCTTAAGACCAATATTCTGGTAATACAGCAGTTATTTACTAGAAGAATCTATTGATAATTCAAGTATCACAATACTCTACACACAATATCTTTATTGATACTGAAATACAATTGAAGCTGTTGATTTGGAGGAATGATTCAAGTAATCATGATGTTATGTTATTAGTACTACAATATATTGTTACACCTACTACAGTGATCAAAGCAAGAGGAGTCGAATTAATCATTTTCATGTGTTTAATTCACTTATTATTATTTTTCTGCTACATTAGGGACCCACCGGCCCTGCTGGTGCTCCTGGTTTCCCTGGTGGTGCTGGTGCTAAGGTACGGTACACACTGCAAATGATGGATTTCATTATGGAAGTGTCTACTCTATACTCTGTAACATTGAAATTAATTGTTTGAAACAGTGCACTTATTGCACAAACCAGATACATTGTTTTTTAGTGTTATAGCAAAACTGGTAATTTACAACACTTGTCCATAGGAGGCTATACATTTCACAAAACACAACACAGTACAATGTACAAAACACAGTACAAAACAGTACATCGTACATCTATAATTACACTGTTGACCTTAACCCACTCTTAAACCTGTCACATGTGCCACCTCAAAACCAGAAAAATTGTTTTAGGTAACACTTTATTTTTTTATAGTGTCCTTGTTACATATGTTACATGTACTTACTGTAGTAATAACACTAGTTATGCATAAGTGCATTGCTAACCCTAAACCAAACCCAATTCCTAACCCTATAGTAAGAACATGTACCTTACACTGTACAAGTACATTTGCAATACAAAATGAACTGAATAAGTGCATTGTACAAAACAATTAATTTATGGTCATGTATTAGTACAACTGTCAACAGTTGTCATGTTGATTAAAGTAAACAAGCTATAAGTGCTTCCTAATTCTAACTGATTGTTTCTTGACCCTGTTGTTGCATCTTCAATATACCAATAAAATATTATTTGGATAGAAGTGTCTACTAAATTAATAACTGGAGTCACCCTCCTATAAATAAACAGACAATTCACAGTTTTTTCTTCTTTTTGGCTTCTGTAGGGAGAAACTGGCGCTGCTGGAGGCCGTGGTTCAGAGGGACCCCAGGGAGCCCGTGGTGAGCCTGGTAACCCCGGACCCGCTGGTGCCGCCGGCCCTGCTGTGAGTATTTGCATCACGAAACATCAATGTGTATTTGCTTGAAAGATTTCAAATGAACAACAATTCAAAAGGAAATTTGCTTGCATAGTAGCTACAGAATAATGGTACGTTTAAATTACAGTTGTAGATTCATATGGAAACTATATTATCTGCTAAATAAGACATGAAGACACAACATTTGATACTTAAACTATGCATCTTTTCAATACAAATAAATTTGGAGTCCCGAAAGGGACACGGTAATGGAAAAAATATGAAATGGTAGGAAATTTATGTGTCAATGCTTTTGAGAAAATTTTGAGTTTGAATGCAACATTTCCCAGGGGAACGCAAAACTATTGCAAGGGTTTTGCAAAAGCATTGAAATATTTTATTTTCTCCCATCTCATATTTTTTTCCATCACCATGTTCCTTTAGGGGCTCCTTAAGTTTGAGAATCTTGTATAAAATGTACAAAAAATGCAAAAATGAATAGCCCACCGAAAGCTGAAATGATCTACAAAACAAAGTGTGATTGGAGTATAATTTAAATGAATTGAAATTAATTGAATGTTGTGGAGAATAAGACATGACTCCACCTTTTTCTGCACAGGGAGCTCCTGGTAGTGATGGTACTCCTGGTGGCAAAGGATCTCCTGTAAGTATTTCTATGCAATATATAACATCCCACACCAATTTTTCTTTATCTTTTATTTATGTGGTTTCCCTCTTTATGGCTGATGATTTGCAATGGTGTTTTGTAGGGTGCTGCTGGTATTGCTGGCGCTCCTGGTTTCCCAGGTACCCGAGGACCCGCTGGACCCGCTGGCCCGTCTGGTGCTCCTGGCCCCAAGGGAAACAATGTATGTATACTGCATTTGATCAAGACTGCATTCAAAGTATAGTAATGTTTCAGTGCTTTCAGGATTGCAGATATGATATCTTTAGTTTTGAAAGGTGTGACTTAGATCAGTAGATGCTATTATCCAAAAATCAGCTTGGTTATTGGCAGTCAGAATTGACACAGCAATGTATGATGGATACAGGCTCTGATTTAAAAAAAAAAATTATTCAGTCAGTGCAGATCAAGAATATTAGATATTTTAGTCGATTTTAAAATAGCAATTTACAGATTTGAATCGATTTTCATTTTGATGAACCAATAGACCTTATTCAGAGCAGCGCCATGACAGGTTTGAAAGTGAGGCTGTGAGGGATAAACTTATCGTGTTTCCAATGGCATCCGCTGTAAAAAGCTGTATAAAGCTCCTAGATAGCTTGCAATTTTCCACAGCTTACATTGTCGGGAGTTTTTTGTCAACTGAAATTTCTTGGAAAGATATTTTTCCAGTGTTTCATGAGCAGAACAATCCGAAAACACGTTAAATAACAGTACAGCCCATTGAAGAGATGCATGTCTATCCCTCACAGCCTTGCTTTCATTTTCATTAAAAATCAAAGATGGCGCTGCCGTGAATAAGGTGTATATCTTATTATCGATCTTTTAGCCTGTGCTGTATTGAACAAAACATTATTTGTAGTGCCTCCCATCCAATAAATCATCATAATTGTTACTTTTGTTATGAAACAAAGCCTCAGCTTTCTAATTCTGCCATTTTATTATAAAATTCAAACAATAAGTACAAATTGCTTTAGCCGTCTCATTTCACTGATCATCTTTTCCTCTTTACTACTAGTTATAGCATAAATAAATAAGCTGTGTGGTGGTGTATTCCAGCCTTTAGGTGTTAATAGATCTGATTAAAAAATAACACTCTGTGCCCTTGAGCTTGGCACTTAACCTCTTTCCTGTCTTGTGAATTGCTTTGGATACAGAAGAGTCTGAAGAATAAAAGCACAATGAGCTGAGATCCGATATCTTACGTCTTATGCTCTAATTCCAGGGTGATCCAGGTCTCCAAGGCCCTAAGGGAGATGCCGGTCCTAAGGGAGAACCTGTAAGTAGCTTTGAATCATGGATCATTTCCTAATATTTACAGAAACCTGTAATAGTAATAGGTGCTATTCTCTGTCCTAGGGCCCAGTCGGACCCCAAGGTCTCGCCGGACCTTCTGGTGAGGAAGGAAAGAGAGGAGCTCGTGGTGAGCCTGGTGGTGCAGGACCCGTCGGACCCCCTGGAGCCCGTGTAGGTTAACCTTACCAAACTGTGACGGTTCCATTCCAGCATTCGATGCCTTTTTTTTGCTTGTTTGTTTCTCACCTTTTGTCTTTTTTTCTTTTAAAAGGGGGCCCCTGGCAACCGTGGTCTGCCTGGTAGTGATGGAGCACCTGGACCCGGGGTAAGATCATTGAGCTCACAAATCAAGGCTGTAAAACTGTATCTTTGAACACATTAATAAATGAAAACCTTAAAATGTGCCTTACACTACCAGTCAAAAGTTTGGAATCATTAAGGCTGCATTTATTTAATTATATAAAAAAGTCAAATGTTTAAAAGAACTGTTTTCTATCTGAATATATTTTAAAATGTGATAAAAGCTGAGTTTTCAGGATCATTACTACAAGTCTTCAGTGTTACATGATCATTCAGAAATCCCTCTATAATGATGATTTGCTGTTCAAGAAACATTTCTGATTATTATCAGTGTTGAAAACAGTTGTGCTGCTTCATATTTTGTGGAAACCGTGGGGTAAGAA